GTGTATGGAAATTATTGGCTCATGTAAAGGAGTTAACCAGTAAACTGAGTAAAAGAACACAATTAAAACAGTATTCATGAGAAATAACAGAGAAACAACATTTCAGATGGTGTTTACAAATTTGGAAATTAGCAGATTAGATGATGAAAACTGGACCAAAGTGGGTATCTGACTTTGAGTGAGCTGATCACGGATATCAATGAAGATCATCTGGGTTGTTCCTGAATTCTGTAGAAAACTGAGTGCTGAGCTTTAAAATAGCACACATGGATGGGGGGGTGGGGGGAGAGAGATCATGTTAATGTAATGTTTTCCAGGGTCTCCCATTTACTAACACCAGACGTGCATAATTTCTCTCATTAGAATTTCTTACTAAGAAACACTCCAAATAGTGTCAATTCCATTTTGGAGGTGAATTGACTTTTGATTATTCAATCTAGTTCACACATTCAGTTGTCAGTGGTGGGTCCCCATATACTCAGCTGCTTACCTGGCTCTTAATCGTGAAGCAAGGCTGCTAACCTGCCTTGGATGAACACGGCCACTTGCTGCCAGAAGTTCTTCAGCTTCACAATAAAGGTGAGTAGAAGATTCATTCCTAGAAGGAATGTTTACCCTTCATTTAGGGCTTAAGAAGTAACTACTGAACCCAACTTCTCACAGTGCTGTGGGGGAGAATTCCAGGCAACGTTTACTCAAAGTGCATGCAAATTTAGTTTATAACAATAGCTAGTATTTTCCCCAATCCTTTCTGTAGTGCTGCTCACATTGCCTAGATCACCTTATTTGACCATAAAAAAAAACACAAAAACAACATATAAGGAAGGTTGAATTTACACTCCTATTTTATATATTCAAAATGTAATGAAGTCCACGCTTTTTAAAGGAAAATCTGGCTCCTTGACTCTTTATATTTGGCAGATTCATAACATTGTAAAAATCAAAATTAGAGTTATTGAATAAAGACAGGACGAAACTATTCCTTTGCTTTTGTGTAGCTTAATGTGCCACACTAGACTGGCTTATGCTTTAAGAACGTGGAAGATCAGTCATCACTTATGAGAAACTGGACAATCTGACAGTGCTGCGAAGGAGCAGTGGCTCTTTCGAGGAACAGAGCAAGTAGGGAAGCGAGAGGGAAGAGAGGCAGCTCTCACTGGACATGAGATTTAATTCTATTCAGACCAACTCTCACTTTGATGCCCAAGGTGCACCTGATTCAAGCCCTCATCTTTCCATAGCTTCACAGGCATGCAGAATCTGGACAACAAAAAAGAATATAACCATGTGGGCTGAGTATACTCCTTTGGCCATTTTGAAAATGATCTTCGGCAGGATTTTGCTAGCAGAGGAGGACAAAAGACGGTCAACCCAAGAGTCATGCAGGGCTCACTGCTTCACAGCCTGCCTTCAGGCAACCTTGGTTTGAGTCCTTGTTCTACTGCCTTTTTTACCTTTTCAACCTTGAGAATGTCTGTTCACCGCTCTGGAAGTCCCTTCTCCATTTGTGGAAGGGGGAAGTAATAATACCTACTTCAAGTTACAATTAGACCATTTGGTCGAGAGGAAGGGAACAATGATGGCAGCCCTAGAACCAGAAGTGTAGTCCCTGGCCACGGTTTCCAGTAGGGAGCAAGGTCCAGACCTCAGAAGAGCTTTGTGGGGGGTGGGGGAGCCATCTGGCCCCTGAGGAGAGTGATCTGACAGGAGAGATCTGCCCAGCCCCTGGGGAGTGCTGCCCAACCCTGGGGGGAGAGTTGCCTGGTGTGTATGAGAAACTTTATCTAAGCCACTTTCCTCGAGGCATCTCCTCCTCCAGTACACCTGTAAGTGACACCTCCAAAGCCCTTAACTTTCTAACTCACAAGTTTGTTCTCTCTAAGTTTGCTCCCTTTCCTATAGGTAACCTGAATAATGAGTCTTGTTCCAAAACCTGAACCCTGAGCCTGGTTCCAGAGACAATAGGGAAGTATAACTGCCAGATAAGGAAGCGAAGGTGTATAGGGCCTTAAAGTTCAGCCAGCCACTCCCATTGGACTTACCCACCCAAACACCTTGCAGTCCAGAGGGCAGAAAACCTCATGAAAATATATTCTAACTGAACAAGAAGGCTTCAAATCAAGACCACCAGTAAAGTGTTCAAGTGGGCTTTCCTTTCCCTTCATCTCAACACCCCTGTTTGGCATGAGGCAGTCAGAGAGTCTGTGACCCTATTCCCAAATGGGAAACCCACAAATAAAAAAGACAATATCTTTGTAAAATAATAATAATAATAATTGGACTATGCCCACCATTACCCTGTTTTTTCCGGTCCCCACCAGATCTTTCTCATTTTCTTTATCCACTCCCTCCACCCACCAAATTGTGCAACCCTGTGATTTCATTCCAACCAATCTTACCTTCCTCTTCCACCCCTTACCCCCTTGGGTCCCCATACAGGGCTTTTTTATAATAAATACATAAATAAAGATGAATTGATGTATTTGAATTCTAATGTTGACAAAGGAAATAAAAAATACTATGAAAAGGTCTTTTCTAGGAGAAATAGATAGCTAGTATGCCCCTTGTGGCCAAGCGTGAGAAGACTTTCATCCCCTTACATCGAATACGTATCAGCATAGACCAATTGCTCTAAAAGTACATTAGGTTTGATGAACTAGAGACCAACAGAAATTAGGGAAATCACCCCCATGAGATGTACTGACACAGTAGCTACAACTACGGACTCAGACTACAATCTTGCAGGTGGTGGGCTGTCCCTGTTAAAGCACAACACCTCCAGCAGAACGGCAATCTCTTTCCTGGTTACTGAGGTCTCTGTAATGACTGAGCATCAACACTGGGTCAGGTTCTCAGTGGTATTTCAGTTACAGAAGGATGGTGTCATCTCCCATTTTGGTTTTGGTTTTTTAGTTTTGGTTTTTCCCTCATGAACATTGTATTTCATACATTCATCTACATTATGGTTTATGTAGGTATTTACTGTTACTTTTACCACCCCATCTCATCAAGTCTCCACTGCACCTTGCCTGTTCCTTCGCCTCCCTCATTTGCCCACTATTCACTGCTGCGCTGGTGAATTTTTTCCACCCCCACCCCCTTTTTCTGCCTTCCTTCTCCACTTTGCCCATCTCTTTTGAACATCTATAAATATCTTGTTCCTACATGCAGTTTGCAATAAGCATATTGTCCTTTCATCAATTCTTCCCAAGTGATTCTCACTTGCCCTGACCCTTCAATGTCCACTGTCTGTACATTCTATTTCTGCTCTCTCCATCTGTCCAGCCCCGGTCACCTGCTAATTTTCACACTAGTGGTTTTATGCAATGTTTGTCCTCTTGTGACTGAGTTATTTCACTCAACATTACATTTTCTAGAATTGTCCATTTTGTGTAGTATTTTATGAATTTTTCATTATTCTTAAGTGCTGCATAGTATTCCATCATGTGAATGCACTGCACTTTCTCTATCCACCTGTTTATTGATGGATTTTTTTATCTGTTTCCATTTTCTTGCAATTGTGAATAATTCTATGAACATAGGTGTATATATCTCCATTCATGTTTCAACTCTAATTTGAAAGGAGGGACTGGTCCTTGGAGAGGGACATCCTGTTTGGGAGAGTGGAGGGACGGCACAGGAGAGGAAGATGCTCAATGAGATGGATCGACTCTGTGATTGGGATGTTGGGAATGAGTGTGTTCGAGACGGTGAGATTGGCACAGGACGGAGCAACGTGTAGGGCTCTTGTGCATAGGGTTGCTATGAGTCGCAAGTGACTCGATGACACACAACAACAACAACATATTCCTAGCAGTGGAAGAGCTGGGTCATATGCGATTCCTATATTCCCCTTTTTAATATCTATATATTTCTAGCTCAATTATCCATGATAATGGTGTTTTGCAGTGTTTGTCCTTACGTGGCTGAGTTCTTTCACTTAGCAAAGGGAAGCACCAAACTCCCTTCCATCGTGGTTGCACCATTTTACAATCCCACCAGTAATGCATGACCATTCCAAGCTCTCTGCTTCCTTGCAAACATTTGTTGTTTGCTGTCCTGTTAAGCACTGCTATTGATGTTGAGGTGTCAGCTCCTACTTTGTGATGTTATAATGTACTCTGCTTCATGAACAGCCAGTTCAAAGTGAAGTGCTTCAGAAGTGTGGACTACACGTGGTATATGTGGACATTCTTCAAAAGTTCCTTGACTTTTTTCTCGCTCTAGATCCTGCATCCAGCATGTCATCATCTGACCTCTGGATCTTGTAATTTAAATTACTTACTTGATGTATTGTCTGCTTATCTTGGGTTTATCATTTCCTTTGTTAGTGAAGTCTCCAGTCTTACCTCTGATCCACAGAGTCGCCAAACTCTACTACCTTCATATTACATGCATCATTTTTTTTACTTCTTTTTCAAATAATTGTATTGAAAGTTTATAGACTTTGGATTTCCATTCATTGTTGCACACTTTCCTCCTTGTGCAGCCCTACCCCAGTTCACTGTTCTCTTTGAAAAGTAAAAAGAAAAAATTCTTTCCTTGTTATACAATCCCCTCCACCCCCAATCCATTCCACTATGCAGCTTTCATTCTGGACTCTTGTCAGGACAATAATACATAATCATATATTCCTACTAAACAGTTCTCGTCCTCATCTGTTTCAATGCAGTATACATAATTTACCCCATTTTAGTTTCCCTCCAACTCCAATATCAGTCCCTTTTTACAACAGTGACACCATGCAGTATTTGTCCTTTTGTGACTGAGATATTTCACTCAGCATAATATCCTCCAGGGTCACCCATTTTGTATGATATTTCATGAGATTATTGTTTTTCAATACAGCATAATACTCATAGTGTGACTATACCAGAGCTTCTCTATTCATTCATTTGTTGATGGGCATTTGAGTTGTCTAACTCTTTGCTATTGTGAACAAAGCCGCAACAAACATGGGTGAGTATTTATCTGGTAGGGTGGCAGTTCTGGTTTCTTTAAGGTATATTCCCATTAGTGGAATTGCTGGGTCAAATGATATTTCTATTTCCAACTTTTTGAGAAAGCTCCATCCTGCCTTCATTAGTAGTTGCTACATTTTACACTGCCACCAACAGTGAATAAGGAAGGGTTCCAGTTTCTCCACAATCTTGCCAGAATTTGTAGTTTGCTGTTCTGTTAAATTTTGCTATTCTTACTGGGGTGAGATTATATCTCATAGTTGTTTTGATTTACATCTCTCTTAGAGCTGGGGATTTTGAACATTTCTTCATGTGTTTGTTAGCCATTTGAATGTCTTCTTTGGTGAAGTGTCTGTTCATATCCTGTGCCCATTTTTCAATTGATTTGTTTACCTTTATCTTGTTGTGGTGATTGAGTATTTTATAAATTCTAGATATAAGTCACTTATCTGACATGTCATTACCAAATATTTTTTCCAAGTCTGTGGCTTCCCTTTTTACCCTGTTGAAGAAGTTTTTGAATTTGCATAGGGATTTGATTCTTAGAAAGTCCCATTCATCTATTTTTTCCTCTCCTGGTTATAGGTTTTTCAGTATACTTGGAAGACTGTTTATGTTGTGGATTAGGACTTCTAGAGTTCTTCGAAGCTTTTCCATAATGAAGTTCATAATCTTTAGTTTTAATCCTAGATCATTGATCAACTTTGAATTGGTTATTGTATATGGAGTGAGGTGTGGATCTTGCTTGAGTTTTCCACAGATAGTTTTCCAATTTTGCCAACACCATTTGTTAAAAAGGCTGTTGTTTCCCCACTTAACTGATCTTATCTCCTTATCAAAAATCAGTTGACTATAGGTAGATGGGCTGATTTCCAGGTTCTCAATTCTATTCCATTGATCTATGTGTCTGTCATTGAACCAGTACCATGCTGTCTTCATCACCATGGCAATGTAGAAAGATTTTAAATCAGGGAGCGAGATGCCTCCTACCTTGTTTCTTTTCTTAAGGAGTGCTTTGCTTATTGGGGGCCTCTTTCCATTTCAAATGAAATTGGTGATTGTCTTTTCCATCCTGTTTAAGAATAGAAATTGTATTTGAATTGGGATTGGATTGAACTTGTACATTGCCTTTGGTAAAATTGTCATTTTCACAATATTGAGTCTTCCTATCCATGAGGAAGGGCTGTTCTTCCATTTCTCCAGGTTGCTTCTTGTTTTTTGTAGTAATGCTTTTAATTCTCTTTAAATAGATCCTTGGTGCTTCTGGTTATATTTACTCCAAAGTATTTAATCTTGTGATTAGCTATTGAGAAGGGTATTGTTTTTCTCAGCTCCAGTTCTGTATTCTCTTTGTCACTGTAGAGAAATCCAATTGAATTTTGTATGTTGATCTTGTATCCTGCCACTTTGCTGAATTGGTCAACCATGTCCAGTAGTTTTCTTGCTGAGTCTTTAGGGTTTTCTAAGTAAACTATCATATCATCTGCATGGAGAGATAATTTTACCACCTCTTTGCCAATTTGATACCTCTTATTTCCTTCTCCTGCCTTACTGATATCACTAAGACTTCCAATACAATATTGAATAGGAGAAGTGATAGTGGGCATCCTTGCCTAGTTCCTCTTCTCAAAGGAAATGCCTTAATCTCTCTCCATTGAGAACAACGTTGGCTCTTGGGTTTGCTTATATACTTTTTTACTCTGTTGAAGAAATTCCCCTCTAATCCTATTTTGTTGAGTGTTTTTATCAGGAAAGGGTGTTGGATTTTGTCAAAGGCCTTTTATGCATCAATTGGTAGGATCATGTGGTTTTTACTCTTTGCTTTGTTAATGTGATGAATTACATTGATTGTTTTTCTTATGTTGAATTATCCTTGCATACCTGTTATGAATCCCACTTGGTCATGGTGAATTTTTTTTTTTTATTGTTGGATTCTATTGGCCAGTATTT